TAAAACTATGCTCATTAGACATTACTGAGATTATGGATCAATTTCTAAGTTACACATTTGCAATACTTCATTTAATGTAAACGTATTCAGTGTGAAGTTGATCTGCAACTAAGGTTAATGAGAGTGTGACGGCTCAACAGTATGGAAGCTTCAAAGATTGTCTTGATATTTGCGTGTAATCCTTTAATACTGGAAAACATTTGAGGTCTATTGATGCTTATAGTGCCAATATAAAAACCAGCTGAAAACTACATATACATTTATTTGCATGAGATATTACTTAGTATTAACAGAATCAGTGTATTCAGTGTGTGCTAATATGTAGAATTATCTTTCATAAATTCATGTTGTGCTAGTCCTTACATGTGCTTTATTTTTTTCAGGTATACGGAAGTTGTCGAATATGAAACCAGCGGAAATATCATCCGGACAAACTAACGTTAATACTCTTCATCGAGATTTTCTTTTGTAAATTAATGAAATGTTTAATATACTCTTCAATTCTACTTCCTCTAGACTTTTTCAGTGCGTCGCTATACTATGTGCTTTTGTAATAAGTGAATTCGGATCAATGCATGTTAAGCTTAGTTAGTGGGATGGGGATTTACTGTAGTATTATGAGACTGTTACTTTAGCCCTTCGTAAGATTTCGTGTCTGTTTCTATACAGTAGCACAGTGTAAAAACTAAGTAGGATTTAGCAAGTTGAATAATAATTCTGTACTGTTCAATACGAAAGTCGCCTTATCTAGCCAGTTGCAATTCTGTACACTGTTAAACGCCAAGTATGAAGTATGATAGCTACTTCACTAGTCTGTTAATATGCAGTGACATCATCAAATAGACTGTTCATTTGACAGTGAGCAAAGAAACAATTTTCATCTATTTCTAATATGCCGTTGAATCATTTGATGTTATCTGATATCCATCATTTCTATGATCAACAACTGCGGTGTTTGCATATCTACTTTATGAATATTAAATAACTCACGCCTTTATGCATCTAATTACCTCCAGGATTTTCTATTCATTTGATGTGTGTACGGTAAACAAGTCATTCATACATTCTCCCACAAATGCCAAGGTTTCTGGTGTCACAAGTGTTAATAAGAGTTGCTTCCTTGGTTTCAATACAAATGACGTTCTAAATTATCTCTAGTCGTTGAACCCTTCTTGTAGCCTAGTTACAGATTGCTTGCCTAGCCTTATTCTTAATTAAATGTGCAGATATCCTGTCGCATATTTAATGAATCTTTTTCCAGAAATGTTGTGCCAGACGTTTGGAAGAACTTTAAAATTGTACCTATACCTAAGTCGCCTAATGGAACATGCTTAAAATTTAGACCTATTGCTATTACCTCTCCTTTTCTAAAAGCTATGGAAAAGTTACTCTTACTTAATCTTCAACCTTCACTTAAATCCTTTAGCGATCTCAAATAATTCGCCTATAAACACAGTAGAAGTACTTTAGATGCAGCTGCAGTCTTGCATCACAACATTTCCTCCATTATAGTCGTCCACCACCAACTGTATTTCTGTTTGACGAACTTAACGTACATACGCAAACGAAATGAAATATTTGAAAATTCCCATTCAGTCATAGAAAAGAAAAGGCGTTCAGCAAAGAGTTACTCTTTTCGGCGATATCATTCTCAAGCTGTACAAACCGCAAATTTATAGTAATTTTTCTTGGCAACAAAAGGAATATTTCCAAAGATGTGTTGATGCGAAACCAATGATTCGCACGAACGTGAAGGACAAGCTTCCACTGGGGGCCTCATCAATGTGCATCTACCAATTCACCTGCTCATGTGGAGCTAGGTATGTCGGCCGTACCCAGCGTTTGCTATCCAAACGAATCAGCGAACACTTACCTTCATGGTTTTATAAAGGAGAAAGAAGATCCCCCTGCCACAGCTCTATCCTAGAACACTTGATCGAATCCGGACACCAAGCAAACCCACAAAACAACTTCTCAGTTATCTACACAATACGTGGGAATCTTGCCAAAAGAGTACGAATTAAACTTCTTCAAACTGCAGAAGCAATGGCAATTCACATATTGAATCCTGAACTCTGCATACAAAAGAAGTTTGTTCAGTCACTAAATCTGCAGTGGTCCTGATCTATCTCAACACCAAATACGTAATTTTGTCTTACCTCTTTCTTCTTTGTTTGTCTGTTTATTAATTGCATTATTTTCTACCCCCACCCTCTATTAAATCTCTACCCTCATGACGACTGTTGCTAACTCCATCCATGTTACGTCATCCAACTTATTCACTCAATTTCACTTCTACTTAATCTCTACCTGTAATTACCTCTGTTGCTATCCTGACCTAAGTTGTAACATTTTAGCCAATTATATTACGTCATCTAGTTTTTTAACTCAGTCTTACTTTAGTTGCTGTCTGATTAAATTTGTCATTCTTGTATTAACTAATCAATTATCTAAACTTGACAAACCTCATGTATACACACACACACACAAATATTTATATATAAATGCGATTGTACAGCTATGTGAATGAATTCGCCGAAAAGAGTCTCTTCGCTGAATGTCTTCTCTTTTTCATATGACTCAATGGGGATTTTTAATCAACTCCATTTTCGTTTATTTTAAGTGAATTCTACTCAGCTTATCAACTTAACTCTCATTTATTTTCAAGTGAATTCTACTCAGATTATTAACTTGACTCTGATTCATTTTTCACTGAACCCTAGCAATTAGATTACGTCACCCAACCTACTTTTGTAACTTTATTTTAGTTTCTAACCGATTAACGCCTTCTAAATTACGTAATTTGTTGTCAAAAAACTAACAATCGCATCAACACATCTTTGGAAATATTCCTTTTGTTGCCAAGAAAAATTACTATAAATTTGCGGTTTGTACAGCTTGAGAATGATATCGCCGAAAAGAGTAACTTTGCTGAACGCCCTTTCTTTTCTATGAAATGAAATATGTCAAGTGCGCGGACAAACTATTCCAGTGTCTTTTAATTCGCATCTACACTGTACTAAGATGAACAACTCTCTATCAGGAGTCAGAAAATGCTTTTAAACTAAATCCTTCCAAATGTCAGACTGTCAATTTCAGTTTCCGATGTAAAAGAAAGTTAGATGAGGCTGTTAATTCCTATGACCGTTGCAAAATTGATGAGTGGTACAGAAAACAAGTCTGACGTTAAGTATCTCGGACCAATTCATCACACAGCGTCTTAGCCTTAAATGAATACTACACGCATGCATAATGTTTATGAGCTAGGTATGCAAATCTAGGTAGACGCTAGTACGGCACATTCATTATTTAAAAAACTAACTCATATGTGAGGACTACAACTTGACCAGCTTTACAACGTTTAATATATTTAGACGCAATAAACATACACTGCTTACTTCTATGACGCATTATCTGAAGCTACCTCAAAGTAGTTCCCCCTGATGGTAATCTCCTGTTGCTACTACCTAAGTGAGCAACTCAACGTTATCTTTGAATTTCAAAGTAAAAGCGAACATCCTGAGAGCTTTCTGGGTAAAACATATCCTAATCTCTTCACGCAAGCTTTTAGAGGTATTTATCCTATCGCCTCAAATGACTCACCATTCACTGTCACTTAAAAGTAAAAATGAATTTACCGAAGGCAGCGTGCTTACGGTTTCTAGATATCATAATGCACCATGAGGAAAAAGCTCTATAGCAATTAGATCCGCGATATAAATCCGAAACACAACGACTACGATTCACAGTCACAGAACATTCTACTTTGCTACCTAATCGTATCAACAGACGTCTCGCCAAGAAACAGAAGACCATTGGTTCAGGGAAAATTTATTTAAAGTTTTCTTAAAAATCATGGGCAACCGTGTTTATAGCCACGGAGAAATCACAAGCATCCAAAAAATAGGAATTTCATTATTTGAACTGAAACAAACAATTTGCAACGAGCCAATTTTTCACCCCGAATAATAATCAGCTTCTCAGCTTGTTGTAACTTCGAAAAAACCACTGAGTGTAGACCAAAGTCCGAAACGTTATTCTTGCTAGTTAAATTCTTACCGAACACTCACCAGATCATCGTACGTTATCCGCTTTTCAAATCCTTTTGAAACAAATAAAATGGCTGTTAACACCGCGTTTACCACAGGCAGTCCTAGTTCGTGCGTTTGGATCTAGTACATTAACAATCATTTAGGGATTTCCTATTGCTTCCTAATTTTGCTTCCAAAAGTACATACAAACACCACACATTCATTCTCCACATGTGGCTCATCCTTGCTTGATTCTCTTACAATATATCTAATTTTTTAGCTGACAACAGACACCTTGTCGAAAGGCTCCAAAGCTTTTTAAACTTCAGGTTCTAAATTCTCTGGGTTTAACTAGTTCTTCGAAAACTTTGCTAATAGCAACCCTGATGGTGCTCTCTTGACCGGATTCATTCGTAGATTGTTGCATGCTGTAAACATGAACGTGAGAGACATTTTTTTCCAGATTCCTACATATTAAGTAACCAACTGAGCCAGCAGCAATAACGGCAACCAAAAATGAACTGGAAACAATGGCTTCTGCTTCCCTAACATGTTCACGTGTATAATCTCCAAGGTTTCTACACAGTACTAATTCATTAATAGCTGAAAAACAATTAAAACGCTGGAACCATGCATGAATGCAACGTATGAAACAATTACAATGAAACGAATGCACTGACCTGGTGGCAAAAACTTTCGAAACAAACGAAATAACTAATTTCAACAGAAATGGAAACAATAATGAAGTGAAACGCAACATTTGTGAACAATGTGCATCAAGATACGTGGTGAATAAGTGCTGGATAAACGGAAAAATCGATGTGTAAACGAACAGCAACGGAACTGCAGTCCAACATGGCCGACTAACATGGACGAAAATGACCTTCGAGCGTCTCACTCCATCAATGACCTTGTACATGGCGTTTAATTTCTGCCCTCAGTATGTTGAACAATTTCATAAACTAGGCGGGTTGATTTGGACGTAGGTCGGTAAATGACCTTGATGAGACCTTCAAGTTGGAATGAAAGACAGTGAGGGAGGGTTCTGCTTTCGAACACCTCTCCCAGTATCTGGATCACAGGACGGAACATCGTTTTGTTCTGAAGCGAAACGACCTAGATTGTGGTAAAGCTAATTAGATAATCTTGCTAAACATACTTTAGTCATACATCATCACGTGTTTCAAGTGTTTACAATCGTATTTTCGATCGGAATACTAATAGCGCAAATAAAGATAACGAAAGTCATTCAGCGTCGAACGGGTCTTTCTTTGGAAGCCTGGTAGGTTACTTTAATATAGCCTACATTTTAGTGTGGTGTACTGTTTACTTATTAGGTGAATTGGCTTAGTCACATGGGCTCCACATACATGTGTTATATGTTTTCATACCACATATATTGTCCACACCTTTTAACAGTGAGGCCCATTCATCGCTCCGATAGGTTTTTTGTCACAGTTAAATTTCAGGTGGTGTAAATGAAGAGTAGTTGTTATCTATGCTTGCATGTGTGCAAAGTACTCATCTTATTGCTGACATGGTTTGATAAAATCATTCCGAAGCCAGTCTGAATTTCTGTCGAATTACTGGTTACTAAATCCATACTGTATGTTAATGTTTCTATCTGGGGACTTCCAATCAAGTGGCTTATTCAACCGCAGTACTGTAATTACCTACAACAGTAATACTTATTACCATTGCATGTGTATCTGTTAACATAAAGTATGTACAAGGGGAAATGGTTGCCAGCCTTTACATTTCTGTAGAAAGTTGTGTATCATGTGTCGATTGTCTTAATTGAATGCCCCTTCCCCCACTACTAGCGTTTTGTATACTCTTATGTCACTGACACATTGACTTATTTAGTTGTTCGCAAGTATTGTTTCACCGCTTTTTTAGTCGTCTGGTAGTCTTAGACGTCAAGTTAACAGATAGCCAGTCAAGGAATTTCGACGCAGGAGGATGTCCTTTTTCTTGTCGGTTCTATAGTGGCAAATAGTTTCTTCTCTTAGGCTTTCCTAAATACCTTTCTTTTCCGAAACTCAATATTTGCAGATATACTGATTAGGGCTAGAAGGCTTGAGGCCTATGCTTGTTCAGATGGTCCCCAAGCAAAACCTGTACAGTCGCTTATTGAGCTTTCACTTAACTACCCGTTTTAGACTTGTGATAACACCTTGTAAGGTCATTCACGTTTTAGTTTTGTCTCTGAGTTCTTGTGGTTTGGGTGTATCACTGCCATTAGGAAAAAAAACATTGATGCACTTTTCGTGATAATACTGTATTAGTACTTGTGTTTCTTGATGTTTGCTGACTACGTGTCACTTATCAGGTGAAGTAGGTGGGACTATATCGAGCTACAGAAGGCGGCATTTACGTAGGTATGCAGAATATTTTCCTCGAATTTGCAGTGTTTCCCACGTTTTCGTTTCCATTTTTCAGACAAGTATAACTCACAAAATTATAAAGGATTTTAAGTTGAGGACAAACTTTCTTCTTTCTTGTTCCAACGACAAGGTTCTCGGAACTCTTTCAGTAAAATTTCACTATGTGCCCCGATAGTTAGCAGTGTCTTTATGGATAGTGAACTGTCGCAAAATTTACCCGTCCGGATAGAAATGTAACCTCAGCATACACACATGAAAGGGCTTCTTGACAGTTAAAAATTTGCGCCTCATTTAGGCTCTATGGGACACTCAGTTACCTATTGGGAGATGTGCTCTTCAAAAGTCCAGCCTCTCATATTTCATGTTTGACGGGCTGCCGAAAGCTGGAAGAAATAAGGTTACAAATTTCCCGTCTTGTAATGAAACCGCTGAATGAGTAGTGTTGCAGTTGTAAGTTATTATCTGAATGGGGATGCCTTGGCCTCTAATCGACTTGGTTGAGGTGTAGAATACATGTCCAGAGCTTTTATTCTCACAAACATGTTTTAATTGGAAAAACTGATTTACTACGAAGTTGGAATTGGTTTTAATTTGCGAAGTTTCTGACGAGGCGTAGACTTATCCACTTCCTGTCATCGAAATTCTCTACATCACTGAACTTCATTGTTTTTCCTTTTGTGGTTATATTAATTCACTATAATATTTTTGCGTGTTATCTCCTTTTGGGTTTGACATATTCAAATGATGCACAAGGTTTACCGTTGGGTTCCTTGAAAAGTTAGGAATCGATGGTTAGTGTAGGTATTATAGCTCGAAATCAATGGTAAACCAAATATTCTTCTTCCCTATCCTTCTTGTTCTAACACTTCCGTTTATTTAATTTTTGTTTGACATCATTCCTACGGGTGATTTACTTCTTTCCGAGCTTCTTTGCTTACACTTTGTTTAACTGTCGAAACGGTCGTTTAGTCTTACTGTGTATCGTAGTATTTTACTTTGACCTTGGTCCTGTTTGTTTGTTCAGTGTTTATTTATCTTATTCTTTTTTCTGTTAAGGGATGACCGTATGTAGGTTGCTTGCTGCGTGGATGAATGTCTTTCCCTCGTTATTTTTCTTCACCATATACAGCCTTAATGATATTACGATAATTGACTTTTACCTTATAGTTACCGTTTGCCGGTTTTAAATCGCCAATTCATCCTGGTGATGTTTGTCACTACTTTCTTCAAAGTCTACTACCAAACAATCGTACACAATCTTTGAAAATGAAACAGTCAGCCGTGTTCAGCTCCACGCCGTTAAATGGAAGTGTAAAGCCTTCTTTAAAAAATAGTCAAATTCCTTCTCAAAGGCTAATGTATCAACGACTGTTAGATAAAGCATCATTTCCTCGGACTCCTTGTGTTAAACGGTCAAGCAGTTTCAGAGAAACAATCACTATAGATTTGGACGATGAGAATAAAAGTCAGCGTTTTTCGCTATTACGAAGGTGAGTGATTATGATGTCTGTTTATTGTCCATTTCTTTCCTTCTTTCTTTGTCGATGGAGAATTGTAAATTATCTCGTCATAATAAGCGTTAGAAATGCGTTTTCTATGGATCTGTACTCAGTTTAGTGAAGCCTTTATCTACCAAGGTAGTTTGTGATTCATGTACACGCTAATAACTACATAATGTTGTATAATTTGATTATGTTGTATATGTCGTGATTACTGACTGTATTAGAAGATTATGAGAGTAATTATTAAGTTGTCGGAGTCTTCTCACTAGTAAAATTCACTAAGGATTTCAGTTTCAACTGATTAAAAATGACGATTAAAATTCTCAAAAGAATGGATACTGAACAAAGAGTACTCTTTTCGATAACTTCTTCATCAGGCTCTACAGTTATATATACATTATAGTGAATGAATGAATTAGTGTTATGAACAACATTAATGTTGTTTAAATAACATCGAATCACTAATAATAATATCAGTAGATTACAGTTCAATAGCATCAACATAACAATAAACTGAATGTCAGAAAAATTAGGAAAGATAATATTACAAATTCATGAATTTATAGTCTCTGCTGAAGACCGGCCAGGGCAGTAGTAGTGGCTGGCTGGACTTGTTTCTTTTGCACACAGAGCACTGGTTGTTTGAGGCGAATTGTGATAGCCTCTGCTGTTTGGAGCATGTGGTGCTTCGATTTTTTTTGGCAATTTATTTGGTACCCAGTGGATGATAGAGAAGGACTCTTCAATGCTGGCTTTGTGGCCGGTTTGCACCAGATGGACCAATATCGAACTGTTAATAGTTTTAACTACACCTTTACTTAGCCATACTGGGAGATGTTCTCGAGCAAGCACAAAAAATCAAGTTCCTAGAGCAACGGCCAATATAACTCGCTCCACCACAAACGCAGTTGAATTGGTAGATACAATTTGAAGTGGCTAGTCTAGGTACTTCATCTTTCAGTCGAGGTAGCACCAGCATTAAAAGTTCTTTGAACTGATTTTCTTAATTTCTTCGTAATTATTTCACTTGGTATATCACCCATGAATTGCAGTTGTATCTAAAGAGGCGTCTTGTTTAGAGATAGTGAGTAGTCCTTTTTCGCTTTGTCATGTGTTTCTTGATAAATTTGTTGGGATAGCCATTTTCGATCAAAATATCATCTACCGGGCGCCTAATAAATTGCCAAAAACATCTAAGCACCGCATACTCCAAACAGCAGAGGCTATTGCAATTCGCCTCAAACAACCAGTGCTCTGTGTGTAAAAGAAACAAGTCCAGCCCCTACTACTGTCCTGGCCAGCATTCAGTGGAGACTATAAATTCATGAATTTGTAATATTATCTTTCCTAATTTTTCTGACATTCAGCTTATTTCCTGTCGATGCTATTGAACTGTAATCTACTGATATTATTGATTCGATGTTATTTAAACAACATTAATGTTGTTGATAACACTAATTCATTCATTCATTATAATGTATATATAACTGTAGAGCCTGATGATGAAGTGGTTATCGAAAAGAGTATTCTTTGTTCAGTATCCATTCTTTTGTAGATTTCAGTTTTTAAAATCAGATCTGTAACATATATCAGTGGATATACTTAAATATTTGAATTTGAAGGTTATCGGCAGATGACCAATGGGTTAACGTAGAACTTAGTACAAAAGTGCATTGAGTGATGGTGAACATTCCTGATGGAAGTCACTGGCTGTTGTCCCTTTACATGACAACTCTTCACTAGATTTTAAATAGTTGCATGAGTTCGAGTAGATTGTCTTTAACAGTACAGTTTACTTCCTCAGTTCGCCTTGCACACAACCAAGTATTGCCATAAAACCTCAGGATTGGCAGTATTGAGTGGCGCCTTCAAATCATGAAACGTTTCAGGTACTTATTAGAACAAGATTTGTAGGAGTTAATCACCGTTATCGGTTCTTCGGTATGTAACTTTATGGATATCCTCGGTGTAACATACCGGACCTGTATTATTACTGGTTGTGGCAGGAGATAAAGTTCGAAACAACAGTAGGAAGATAAGTGGAGGGTACGCGATGATCAGAGAAAACTGTGTGTTGACAAAAGCCTATAAACATTCGATACTTCTTGGACACCCAGAATAGAATTTGATTCGTAGAATATTTGAAAAAAAAGAAAGTTTAGTTTAGGATGACCGAAGACCTGAGGAGACAACTGTTCGAGACAGATCATGGCCTGTTTGGACGTTGAATTAGTGGGATTTCGTTCTTAAGAAAGACATTACTGCCAGATACAAACCTCTACGGCTTTTGAGAACAAACTTCTCTAATTGGTTGACTTCTCGCTCCTATCCACCAGCAGTACCTACTTCTCCCTCTAAACTTCCACCCTATTGTAAACAGCTGACACTATGGTGGTAGTCAAACTACAATCCAACAGCATTTATCCCAGCCGAGATAGATGGGTAAAGTTAATACGAGATAGAATCCCTTTCTCCATGTCTGGTTAACAGCTATTGGTCTTTTGTAAAGTAGGTAAGTTCTGAAAAAGCATCTCTTAGTGCTCAAATTGTTTCTGAGATGACGTATTTGTCAATCTGTCGAAATGGAGAGCGATTGAAGTTATTTAAAGACTTTGCGCGCTGATGTGTCGGTGATCTTTAGATGATAAAATGGAAATATCTCTAATGCTGAAACTGAGGTGGTTTTGGTGGGTGGTTTTATTCGTCTTGTCCATATAAGTCTTAAAGTTAGATGACACTAAATGACAGTAGAAATGTCTACCGTAGATACAAATCTTCGTCTTTTCAAAGTCCTTGACTGTATTTTCGTGCACATTTTGCATATTTAGATCACCACCCTTAACCTTCTCGTATATAGCACATTCACCAATACATCATAAACAGGGTTGTCTAGGGACATTCAGCTAATACTCTATATTTAATTAACCTTGGACCTTCATTGAAGGCTTTTTAACAACCCTAAACAGTGTGCTTATAAACATAGTAGGTGTACTTTAGATACCACTGTTGTCTTATGACATAATATTGTCTCTAATTTAGACAGAGGTGCCAAATGTTGTTCGATGTGCCTTACATGATTACACATCTGCCTTTGACTCTATGTACCTAGGTCTCTTCAGTTAAACAAGTTTGCTGTGGCACGAGCAGTGTGCTGGACTAATAAGCGGTTACTTTTCCGACAGGAAGTAGTACATCGCTTCACTCTAACTGGTGTTCCTCAAGATGCTGTTCTTTCTCCTTTTCTGTTTTCTTTCTTCTTCTGACATGACTTGCCCCATGCTGACGAAGCCAATTTTGTTAAGTATGCCGATGATCTGACTGTTTCTATGCCTGCGGTTACTTCTCAGTCAGATTGTTCCAAAATTAATAACTTATTAGCAATTATGCAATGGTCCTTGTCAAGTGGTCTTAAGCTGAATCCCTGCACAAGAGAGGTTTGCATCAACTGGTTGGTTCCCACGATTCTTGTATCAAAGATTCCACTGAAGTTGAAACTTAAGTCAAATGTTAAATACTTTGGATCGTGTATTTCCTCTGATCAGTTAGAGAACCATTGAAAACCAGGGAGTACTGGACAGCTGCTGTTTCATCCTAGTTTTGGGAATCGTCGGCAGTACGCACCCACTGGGATTCGAACTCGTAAAAACATAACTAACCCTTACAAACCAAACTATAGAAAATTAATCTGATGCTCGCTAGTGACTTGCTGCAGGACGGTGTTTCCTGGAGTCCTAGTGAGAAGTTGTGACCAGTGAGGTTCAATTAGATGTCACGTGTGTGGATGGATGTCCCACCAACGACAATGGTTGGGGTTGCGCTAAATCACGAATAGGTAGAAGTTAGAATTTTATGGGCTGGCCATTGAGGAATCGGGTCCCAGTAGCTGAATGGTATACGAGCTTGCCTTGAAACCGGAAGGTCCTGGGTTCGAATCCCAGTGGGTGCGTACTGCCGATGATTCCCAAACTAGGATGAAACAGCAGCTGTCCATTACTCCAGTGCTGGTTTTCAATGGTTCTTTAACTTATATCAATCCATGATCAACTCGTAAAAACATAACTAACCCTTACAAACCAAACTATAGAAAATTTCCTCTGATCATTTTTGTTGGTCTTCCCACATCATGTTGGTTTCTAGAGAGAAATTTGGTTTAACGTTCTACGTAAGGAAGTTAAGACGATCTGGTATCATTCCGTGTCTACTGTTACCGTTTGTTAACTCTTGTATTCTGCCTATACTTCTTTACTGCTCCATGCCTCTTTATCTTTCCTGGGCTACTTAAAGAAGACTTTGTTATACTGTGAAGGACGCTAAAAGCCGACAGTAGGGCGATTGGGATGTTGCTAAACCAACTCGTTAACACTGTTGCAGATAGACACATGGACTCATTCAAGAGATTAGCAAATGTCATCTTGTCGGACCCTGAGTATACTCTTTACACACAACCCTTTTATTACATCTCATCAGGTAGAACTGAAAGCAAGTACAGAAAACTATGTGCTCGAATGACTAAGTATAAATAACTCTATAATACCTTATTTGACATACTGTTTATGTGATGAGAGATGTGTAAGGCGGGAAATTACCAACTTATTCCGGAACACTAATTAACAAGGCCCAATTTTTTCTCTCCTTTTTTCATTATTTTACCGTTGTTAATATTTTCGCTTAATTTTATACTCATGTTCTTAATGAACGATAATATCAATGTAAATGTCCTGTTTTAATCATTACCCCTGTAATAAGAAAAGTAGATGTTATCCTGTACTACTAGATATCCGCACCAAAAATACTGTTTCGAACTCCTGTGGTGGGTGCGTACTGTTGATGCGTCCCGAACTAGGCTGACGAAACAACTGGCTGTCCAGTACTTCCTTGTGGTTTTCCAATGGTTCTCTAATTGATGTCAGTCAGCTCATGATGAAATCCTCCAACGAATACTTGAAAATTCATCTGATGCTCACTAACGGCTACTGGTCTTATTCAAGCAGTTAACTTGGGGTTCTAGTGGGAAGTCGTGACCAGTAAGGTGCAGCAGGTTGAAGGTGAGACAGTAACTCATCGAAGAAGAAATTGCGAAGTGGTCGCGCTGTGTCATGAATTGGCATAAGTTAGAATTCATGGGCTGGCCATTGGATCGGGTCTCAGTGGCTTAATGGTCTACGAGATAGCTAGCTCGTCTTGTAACCAGAAGGTCCTGGGTTCGAACCCTGGTGGTGGGTGCGTACTGACGAAGAGTCCCGTACTAGACTGACGAAACAGTTGGCTGTCCAGTACTCTGTGGTGGTTTTCCGATGGTTCTCTAACTGATGTCAGTCAGCTCATGATGAAATCCTCCAATCAAATAGAGCTGTTATCATTATTAAGTCTGTCAAAGACCTTATTAGTGCTTTTCAAGTTATATCGATTTATTGATTTGCTTCACTTTCTGCGTAGTCATCATCCCTTGTAGAGGGTATGATTCATTTGTCTCAACAGACAATTTGTAGCCAATGAGGAGTTGATTGCTAACTACTTTTCATTACATTCCCCCCCTACCGGTTATTTATTTTTTCATTTGCAGATGTAATCTCTCTCCAGTTCTTGCAAATAACAATAATAATAAACTCCAGTCGTCAGTTGAACAAGCTGGTAAGTTCTCATGAAAGCTTAGTAGTTTTGATTTTGTTATTTAATCATATTTATTTTCTCACCAGGTTCAGCTTCTCACGCATATATATATATATATGTATATGTTGTTTGCATCGGTGGAACAACAGTAGAATGCTCGCCAACCGCGCCTCACATGGTCCAGGGTTCGATCCCTGGCCGATCGGTAATAAGACCGGTAGAGAGGGAAGGTTGAGTGTGAGGCTAGCAATCCCACCCCGTAAAAGTAAACACCACTGCTACCAAAACTTCAAACCTCTCTATAGCTTGAAGGTGCCCTATGTTCCACTGGGAACGTAAAGGAATGTTATACTGCTGGTTTAAAAAGCCTAAGCAGATTGTTTTTCATCAGTTGTGCATCACAGATTCACATAACATTTTACGGTTGGAATCATAAGTGTTCTCACTCATTGTATATTAATCTATTCGCAGTTGTTTTGTTAGGTTGGTGCGTGTGTTTGTGTACGAAAACATGATGGTTAGGAGAAAGCTTTGTACACTTTTGAACCTTTGATGAAAGCACGTGTGTGTGTGTATGTACTGCGTAGCAGTTGGTTGTGAGATGTGTCCACTGAAAGTGTGTGCTATGAGGAAATTAACTGGCTGCCGGCTAGCTGTCTTTTGACCAGAGATGTTTGCATTCTTTCTACTGTCTTAAGAGGTATAATATGGTGAGTAATAATATCGAGGTTAGGCGTAAGGAGGGAAAGTTAGTCAGTTGATGAGGTTGTGAATTAAAATCGATTTTGACAGTTTAAAACACGTGTTACACATTCTGAGCCACCGCCCTCCTCGATGAGCAATGTTAACAGACATAGGATTAGAAAAGAGTCAAGCTTATTATTATTATTTCCTTTAGTTCCTAGAGGAACATAGGGCTTCAGCCGCACGTCTCCATAGAGTTCGGTTCTCCACCAACGTTTTCACCTGGCTCCACGTCTTCCCACATGCATCCATCTCCTCTTCGCATAACCTCCTCCTCCATGTCACCCTCGCACTGACGACCAACTCACCGCTTCCCATTCGGGTTCCACTCGAGTGATGACCTGTCGTGTGATGTCACTTGATGGTTTGTTTCCTCAGAGTATGGCCACCAATCCACCTTCATTTCTTCCTACATTTTTGTTGCATAACTGGTTCCTGCTGGGTTGGTTCACTCATTGACAGAGATCCCTCCCTGTTGCTGATCTTTTCTGGCCGGTCGTCTGATCTTGAGTAGTATTAAGCGAAGACAGTTGATGATGCAGGTAGGTATGTAGTTCGAAGTTGTTCGAAGTGTCTGTCGTGACGCGGCGTGGTGCCAAGTCTGTGATCTGTACGTATAGTAAGTAGCACTGACTTCACATTGGAGTTGAAAATCCGGATCTTATTTTTCATCCTGAGTAGTGAGAAAAAGAGTTATGCTTAGCAAAACCAAAACCTTATTTCATCAGTTCATGAAATATTTGACAGTTGGTTTGAGTCACCTAGGGAAGTGTCAACTGCCTGGTTGAGATCCTCAGGATGCTAATAATCTCAATGAGCTGAGAATATTGTCGATATGGATCAGAATCGTTCTCAATATTACGGTGCATATACATTCACTCTTTGCCATCTCTCATATGCATTAAACGCTCCCGTTTTACCACGTTACTATTCCTTCTCCCTCACATTTCTGCTTAGTATTGTTCTCTTGAATCTCTTTTTCCCCTTTCTTTTGTCTCTAGCTTTGTGTGCTATGTAGAGGAGAGAGTGTGACAACTCGAACTGCTGTACTTCTGTACAAAATTCTATTACTGAAACCAGTCAGTGTACAAGTGGAGAGGTTTAGTTTGCATTATCCTGTCATTTATAAGATAACTAGTACGTGCTTCTTTTATAAAATGTTTGTTTTGTTTGTTCTGCTCAATAGTTACTTTGCTTCGTCAACAACTTCTTAAGGAAAAAAAAAACAATAATAAGGTCTAGTGAGCTCAAGCTTTCTAAAGATCGCCATGTCAGATCGCACAAGCAGTCGACATATCAACCTAAGGTGGAGTACTTTGGTCGTTCACTCAATCAACAGGGAAGCCCAATCTGGGATAAATAATAACTGATACCCTGTTGCACAAGAGGTGGTCGCTCTTGTGGCCTCTTAAGTGGCCTAGTGGCGTTTGAAACTTTGGGTACTGGGTTTGAGCCTCAGTTGGAACGGACCACTATCATTCAATTACTGGAGACTACAGGTACATCCAGATGATAAATGAACCTATATGGGACCAATTGCGCATTTTGGCTGGATTCCTGTCTGTCTGTCTGTTTTCAACATAGAACTTTGCACCAATCTGCAGAAGTTCAAGTCGCCAAACTCCATGTAGCACACAAAGCAAGAGAAGAAAGTAGAAGAAATGCGTTATAGAGACAAAATGAATAATAATAACGACGAACAATATAGTTTCATTGAAAGTTGTAAGTCACAAGGAGTGGATGCATGTGCGCCATTCATTGAGAACGATTTTGAGCCATATCACCAATTGTCTCAAGCTTTCATTGCTTTTTACCATCCCGAGGACCCCAACCAGGAAGTCTATACCTTCCTACGTGGCTGGCTGGCTGGCTTAAACTAACTGTTATGGACTTCATTGACTGGTGCCATGTTTTGGTTTACCCACCACTGGTTCTTTTCCAACCTGATCCTATGTCAGCTAACATTGCCCGCTGTCGAGGCAAGCGATAGCTAGGCCTGCATACGTAACACATGTCCTAACCATCTCAATCCATGTAACTTCACAGCCTCGTCGACTGATTTCCCCTCCCAACTACCTAGCACTCGACGCCTAGCCTCAATATTGCTCACCCTATTGTACCACTTAACACGGGAGATAGAACACAGGCACCTATGATCAAAGACAGCTAGCTAGGCTTTTCATGTCTTCCACTCTCAATGGCCGTGTCTCACAGGCATAAAGGAAGACGGAGCGAACTTCTGAGCAGTGCACACGCCCTTTGTTCGAAAGCTGGATTTCGCGTCTGCTAACTCTAGAGATAGCGTAAACTGGCATATGCGGAACTAGCCTTCTGTATCCGTGCTGAGATTTCGTGGGTAGTCAGCCCGCTGGTGTTGGCTGACGCAACTGGGCTGAATTTCACTGCTAATCGCACTATCCATCAACTTACTCCGATTTAAATAATGTTCGTCGCATATATTTTTTTGCTGACGAGTGCCAACATGCACGAAACCTGAGTCCAGTGTTCCCTGCCAACCACCTCCAGCCAAATGAAATCAGTTCACAGTGACTGCACTGAGAGATGATGAGCCACCTAGCCGGCCGGCGGGGGGGGGGGCGCAAACTCTACTTGGTGGCAGAATTCAGTCAACACAAACACTAGAGACTAGAGTAACCACTAATCAATGTAAAGATGTTTACTTTCAATATGAAGTTTTCTTCTGTTTTAAGTATTGGTTTGTAGGGATTTGATTGATTGGTTACAGGATTTCATCATGAGCTGATTGACATCGGTTATAGAACCATTGGGAAACCACCAGGGAGTACTGGACAGCCAGATGTTTCGTCAGCCTAGTTTGGGACTCTTCATCAGTACGCACCCTTCACCAGAGTTCGAACCCCCAGGACCTTCTCGTTACAAGGCTAGTGAGCTCGTAGACCGTTAAGCCACTGAGAACCGATCCACTGGCCCATGTTTTACTTCACCTTAGTTATATATTAGTGTATGATGTAAATGTCAGTGTTTAAGAATGAATGATGTTTAACTGAATAAAATCGATGAAATACGTCTTCTAGATCGTTAGTTAGTTAGTTCGAACTTCCTGGGTGTGCCGGGCTGTGAGAATCATATTTATAGAACACGATTTAAGCAGGCAAATACACATTTTCGGTAAATTCTCATCAGACCTTGCACTCACATAATGAAATATTAGTCATAGTGAAAAGGCAGACGACGAGAGACTTGGTAAAGAAATGTGTATTTCCAGTTTGTTATCTCTATTTAGCCAAATTATGTAAACCTTATCTTCAGTGCACCATTTGCATAGATCTTCCATGTTGTGCCACTTCTGGCCTTCCTTCTTATTGTATGCGTTTCTTTGTGTTCCTTCCACGTCTCCTATGTGTTTTCGCAAGGCTGTATCATCTGCTTTCTCTGACATCAAATCTGCCTCCTTGCTATTTGATGGTTTTTATGTTGTTTAATGTCTGTTTGTATACTACTGATAAACCTTATGAGTAGCATATGCCACAATAGGCATTTAAATTAATGTAACTCATACAGTATAAGATGTGAGAGTTCAAGGATGTGAATTAATGGACAACAATTGAGGTGATAATGCTAATAGGCATAACAAGGATAAATCCATTCAGGTGTATGTATATTATATAAGTAATGGTGACTGTATGACTGACTGGTTTCAACGTAGAACTTTGCAACGCTGTGCAGTAGTTCCAGTCGCCACTCTCCCTCCTTGTAGCACACAAAGCAAGAGAAGAAAGTAATAAGAAATGCAAAATAGAGACAGTAAACAGAGATATGAGGCAAAAATAATAGTAATGTCGAAGAACTATATGGTTTTATTGGGTATTATGAGTCACAAGGAGTGGATGCATCTGCGCCAGCCATTGAGAGCGATTTTGAGCCATAGCACCGATAATTGTTTCCAGCCTTCATTGGTTTTTACCATCCCTAGGACCCCAACCAGGAGATCGACACCATCCTACGTGGCTGGCTGGCTTAAACTAACTGTTGTGGATTTCATTGACTGATCAGGCCATGTTTTGGTTTGACCACCACCGGCTAACTCTTTTCCAACCTGACCCTATGTCAGCTAACATTGCCCATTGTCGAGGAAGGCGATGGCTAGGCATACGTAACACATGTCCTAACCATCTCAATCGATGTAACTTCACAGTCTCGTCTGTTGATTTCCCCTCCTTACCTAGTACTCGACCGATGCCTAACCTCAATAATACTTACCCTATTATACCACTTCACACGGGTGATAGAACGCA